CCACTTCATTACGTGCTCATCAACACTTGGATAATGAATAAATGAGTTAAAAGATAAACCAAAGTGGTAGAAAGGTGCATAAATTTACCAACTCTCTTGAATTTTAGTTTTTAATGTGAAGATGCACAAAGATGTTAACCTTTATTTGAACTAAAACTCAAGTTTTTTTGATTTATTCTTCCTTCTTACATGACTAAAGGTAATTATATTCCATTGGAGTTCTCTGTGCATGTTACCTATTATTATAGTAAGCAGGTGTTTTAAAACTAAATATAATTCAGAACAGTAATGTATTGTAACATGAATTCTAGTAATTAGTTGTCATATAGTATTCACTACATAGAATAAGAATCAGTGTTGAACTCAGATTAACAGTGCTCACCGAAGTTGGTGTGATTAGAACTGGTGCTTAGCTGTTGTATAAACGTTTTGCTGCATACTGTGGTTATCACTGTTCTGATAGATAAACATATTCACTTCCGGTGGAAACACAGCAGCTCAACAATGAATTAAGAGATTTTTGATCTGTCGATAGGTAGGTGGCTAGCTTTCTCACATTCTGTGTTAAATTTCGGTTTACAAGTCTTGCGTTCCAATTTTATACTAGAAGCACGGTGGAGTATGGTTCACTGTTATTTGTAAATACGAGAAAGACTACCGTGATTATCTTTTAGAAATACTCAATTGCTGTTTACTGAAGACAAATTTATTTATGTCACTAAAGACAAGGGGATATCTCAGTCAAATATGCAAGCGATTATTCATCCGAACGTAGTAGTGAAATATGAGCTAAGTGATCATAGTATGAAAAGTCAGTAATTTGGATATTGCCGAAGTAAAGTAAATCAACCTGATGTTTTAGAGACGGACACAACAACCTAACACTACAAATAAAAACAGTTGTCTCAGGTTACTGTAAATCGCAATTATATGAGAAGAGAAATTTAACAGAAGTAGGAAAGTACTGCGTTTAATGTAGGGGAAAACATGGAATGAAAAAATGTGAACAAAAAGAAGTTGATAAATAGAGGATTTTGCAAAAGAAAAAGATGCTGTCGTAAATTTTATTTATCACTCTTTTCCACAATTTCAGCCAGTTGAATTAGTATACTAACAATTTGTATATTGCGCCTTCATACATACGGTTAACAGTCAAAACAAGTTTTTGAATAACATGTAACATAAAATATAGAGGCTAATACCGAATAACAAACTTTGATATTAGAAAAACAACTATACATGAGTTTAATCTTATCATATTTTTGTCGTGGTTTTGTGTGTTGTTTCCACGGAGCCCGTTTATAAATGTAAAACAATTTATTTCGTTCTTCTTCCAAAGCCTAGTTTTCCCCTATAAGTTTTTATTCACGTTTAATGTGATCCGTATATACATAGAGAACAAGGTTATTCAAGTAATGCGTACTGACATTCTTTTTCTCATACAGCTTAATACAGATAGCCTTTTAAGAAGAGATGAATAACAGATTAGCTATGATTTATGCAGCACATAATTTTGATTATGAAACTTGGATGAATATGGTTGAAAAATATTCCATCCCACATGCGAATAAGTCTTATACAACTTTTATATCGTTAATTCGTTTATTAGTATTGTTTCACAGGAACTGACCTCACAAAGTTGCACATAATTTATTTAAGTGCAGCTGTTGTTGATAACCTACCGAAGGATTTCATAAGCGAAGTTATTTTTTGGTGTTTATTAAATATGAATTTACTGAAACATCCCTACTGATGCTTTCTTTGAACCACAGCTTTTTGTTTCTCTTCCTCACCAGTAGTTTTGTGGTCTGGCGAAATAATATATATTGTAAAATGTAATTTGATTGTTTCCAGTAGCTGAACCCAGAACAGAGGCTTTCCTGTGTTTAGAACTGATGAAAGGTCTTGGCTTCAGTCTCATTGACGTTAAATGTTGCATCTCAGACTTGCAACAAATGAAAAAAGACAGTTTATAGTCCAGTGTTTATCTGGATAGTAACAATCTAACTATTAACACTGCTAAGCTTCTGCTCATCTTGTTTGGTCATAACTTGGTAAGTTTCGATCCTCGTTGAAGTCTATGTGAAAAAACAAAGGAATTGTTTTGTGGTAATATAACAGTGATTAAGCTGCTTAGTTTATATGCCATTTAAAGAATATACCTGTTATCTAAGTGAAATCATTTTACCAGTCTTTAGCAATTTTTCTTGGTTATCTTTAAAAAATACTAAGCTTTTTAAAACAATATATTCCTAATTGTACATCAGGATGGAGAAAATAGTTTTGTTTCCACACTAAAAGGACAATATCGAGATATCATAGTTTTATCTTTGATAAATGATTTTATGCATCATGTTTGAAGACTGGGAACCGGTGACACTACAAGGTTATTCGGAATAATGTATCCTAAAACCGACTGATATTTGTATTTTAAAATTTGACCTACTAATAATCCCAATTTTTACATTGTGACATAAACGTAAAAGCGGTACAGTCTGTGAATAGTATGCATATGAAAGCTATTTGCCTTGAATCCCATGAACTACTAATTCTCATCTAATCATTGTTGTTGAAAAACCTGATGTCGTTCCTAAACAAGATGACCTTGAATTGTAATTTTGGTATAGACCCAGTACAGCTGACTTCAATATCATACATATGAGAAATATATTTGCTTGCATCACCATCAATTAATCCAATTGACTCGAGTTACATTGACAATCTCTTTGATTTTACTGAGAGGTTACAGATCAAGACATTGTTGTAGTTGGTTGATTACTGTTTCATCTCATACTTTTGTTTATGTAACCTAAAAAGATATATTTTCAAAGTCTGAGATGTAATATAAAGCTTTTCTGTATATTGACCGATTTTGTCCATCTGTTTTAATAAAACTCGCAAATGTTGCTTATGTTTAACAACGCATATCTTGTATACTATCTGTTTTCATTTTTTTTGTTTGAACATCGGAGCTGTTGAATATAGTTATGACCTGCAAATAGTTTGATATAATTAGATTGATTACCAGTGACTAGCAGTGCAGTTTATAATGAGCATTTCATCCATGTCTGAGACTTATGAGCTAGATGTACCTACATCTAAGTAAATGATATGGTTATCATCAAGATGCATATCTGAAATCTGCCATTTAAAGCGACATAGCATCTTTCAGTGAATTTATTATTTACTCATTTGTCCCATGTGTTCCTAGTGAAAAAAAGGGCTTCAGTAGTAGGTCACCATTGGACTCTGTTCTCTGCAGTCTTTTCATACTGGCTCCACCACTCCTTAGAAGCTTTCATTTCTTCCTCACACGATCTCCCCCATGTCATCATCGCCTAGAACCCCAACTCCTTCTTTCCCATTTGGATTCCATTGGACGTCGTGGCCTGGCGCGTGGTGTCCCCAAATGGTCTTCTCAGTCCATGCCCAATCCAATCCATCTCCACTTCCTTCTGCATATTTTTTGGGCGATGGATTGTTGGTTGGTTTGTTACCAGACACAGTGAGTTCCTTGTTGCTCATTCTTCCCGGTCATCAGGTCATCATTATCGAGCGAGCCTAGACAACTGTTGATGAGTATCTGTAGTTTGTTAAAGTGCTTTGCGTAGCATGCCACCAAGTCTGTGAACCATCACATGGAAGCACTGACTTGAAATTGATGCCAAAAATCCCGGTCTTGTTCACGCCTTATGCTGAGTGTAGTAGATCTCAGCACTGGTTTCAGGTTTATGAAAGCCTGTCTTCGTGTCTTTCCGATCATGGTTTCGACATGCTCGTCTGTACCATCGCCTGTAGTTGAAACGATACTGCCTTGCCTAGGTCGGTGGAAGAGACCACTTCCTTTAGGCTTCTCCCATTAATGGCGATTGGTGCCTCTTGTTGTTGATGCTGTTGTTGGTTGGGTATCTTCATCACCTCCATCTCCTCAACACTCACTTAAACTCCCGTCTTCGTTGCCTCCCCTCTTCTGTCAACTTCTTGGTTTTCGTCTGTAGATCTTCGAGTTTGTGCGACAAGACATTACACATAAATTGCCATCGGCGAAATCAAAATCTTCAAGGCAATATTCATCAGTCAGACAGCGTTTGCCTCTCTTTGCGCTCCTCACTGTTTGCTGCATCATCCAGTCCACCACATTCAAGAAGATCATGGGTGATAGTAGACAGCCTTATCTCACTCCTGTCTTCACTTCTAAGGCATCACTGAGCTATCCATTGTGGATTACCTGGTATGTCGTGTCTTCATATAGTTGTTTGATTGAGGTTGATAGATGTTTATGGCATTGAAACCATATTGTTGAAGCTGCTGCCTGCCAAAATACTTATCGGTCGACGCTGTCGAAGGCCTTTTCAAAGTCGATGAATTTGAGGTTGAGTTGAGTTGACTGTCATTCCATACTCTGTTCTATGATGATGTGTAGCTTGGCGTTGCAGTTTGATCTGCACATGATTTGTACTTCCTGAAACCAGCCAGTCTGTTTCGGTCATAATTTTGAATCTAGTGCATCTGTTAGTCTCACCAAGAAGATGCGGTTAAATATTTTGCCTGGGGTGAACAGCAGCATGATTCCTCTCCAGTTCTTGCAAAGACTTCGGTCAAGGGATTATTAAAGCATAATAGACAGTTCTTGTTTGATGGTTGTATACCTGAAAGTAGTTCATAAACCTAGAACCCAAAGTTAACAGTTGATAGCTGTGAATTATTTTGCTTTTCACTGTTACTTAATGGCGTTTGGTTCAGTGGTCGAAGAGCTTTTGCCAACGGTAGACAAAATTTGCGTTCGTGACTAGGAAAGGACGGTGACCTCTCATCAGTTTCTACGTTTTATCAATATCTTTCACCTTTTTTCCGATGTATCAGTTGTAAATGCGTTGACACTCAGCAGTTTTCAGTTAGTAATTGTTCTATGACTGCCGCGTTTCCCCACTTTGACTGCACTAGCACTTTACATTTTAAGTTCTTTACCTATACGCTTGTTTGTTTTATGTTTAAAATAGACCTGAAAATTATACAAACAGATGCACCTACGCTTGGACAAGCTCTTGATGAAGTAGCAAAGTATGCACTTCTACAAGAGTGTATTCAAGGAAATGATCAATATGATGTACTTCGAGCGATACTGTTCGCTGAACGTTGGCATCCAGATGTCAAAGGTCATATTTCAGATGAAGCTGAATTCGAGCAGTATTGGGCAGGTAATTAGAGATTCTTTGCTCCTTGTTTCTCTGCTTATAACTCTCTGGTGTTGACTTAACTTGTCGATACTGATGTTAAAATCAGAGTAGGGCTTTTCATAGTTACTGTTAACTTTAATTCCATAGAAGCCCTGAGGACCAGTCAGCCATTCACATAATCCTCAGTCCCACAGTCGTTCACGCGATAAAAGCCTAAACAGTGGTACCTGCACTGATTCTGATTTAAGTTGTGAATTTCGTTTCATCTTTGTAATTACCTGACAGCTTTTTTGTTCGAAGATTTTTTAAAACATCAAATATTCCTGGTAAATCAGGATGAATATTTAGTTCATGATACCGATTACGCTGAAAAAGGGCTACTATTTTATCAACCATGGCACCCTATTGCTAGGTAAATCTATATTTTTAGAAGCGATCGAAACTGTCTTACACCAGTGTGACGGTTACATACTGTAAAGAGACTTTTGAAAGGGATCATCTGAATGAATTGTTTTCCGTTCATTATAACCAAATGACAGTGGTTTTTCGGAATTCGCTAATTTGAACATTTCTCCTATTAGTTGTTTATTTAGAGCTTGTTTCAAACAGTAAACCATAGAGTTAAACAAACCGAGAGATCCTGGCAAGTTGTATATTATTCAAAATACCCTAGCAGAGAAGTCATAACATAAGTGAATATTTTCCTCAACGAAGGTACAAATATCCGAGGAGAAATATGGCCTTGAATTATTCTCCCTAGTTGTGTGCAGACTATCGAGACAGGATTTAACAGCCTTCAGATATTTCGATGTGTTATTGATCAGCGAGAATAAAGCTGAATCTCGTATTCGGATACAATTTGTCGCAGTAAAATGATGTAACTTGCTTAAAATAGCACTGCATTTAAGAGCTAGTTACAGAACCTGTCGAATGTAAGTGTAGCTCAGAAAAGTTAAAAGAGAAGCTTTCTCTTCTGAGAAAATCTAGATTTTAATTGGTACCACTCACATTTTGCAGATCAACGGAATAAGATGCTACATGCAAATCGAGGTGTCGTATGTGAATCAAATTTGTGCATGTTTGCCACTGCGTGGCCAATAGGTTGAAACTTGTGCAGAACAAATAGCACTACTAAACACACTGTTAACTCATATCATTCAGCTTGGGGTAATCTCATATTCACAGATTTTTACAAAGTAAGTCTAAATCGCGTGAAGACCATCATCATTCACAATCTTCACATCGCCAAAACACTAGCCATTCACTTCGGCAACGCTGATCTACGTACCAGAAGGAAACTTGATCACTTTCTTCTACTCTCATCATCGTTCATTCCAAGTTTTGTTTGGAGTCTTCGCCTCTCTTAATTCCATTTACGACTTTCATAATTCCTATCCATTTCTGTATTGATGTGCGTGTTGATGACTTCTAAATATACACAACATCTTATCGAGATCTGATGTTGTTCATGGAGTTTTTGTTATATTTTGATTGGTGTTGACTCCTGTAAACAGAGATGATAATTTCAGAGTGTGAATATCATTTATATGAATAGTGTTTTATTTTGTTTGCTACGAAGTCTAGGAAGCTACGTAACCACTACACATATGTCGATGCATTTTGAATGCTCACAAAAGTCATAAATATTTGCAACGGTACCGTTTCATAAATGAGTTGCATCACTGAAAAGAGTTCTTTTCAGTGTATCACTTCCTTTTCCTCAAAATTCATTAGCTGGTTGAAAATTTGTCCGCTTCCTGTCAGTCAAATGTTTCTTCAAAGTTTTTACTTCAAGGAACTGATGATGTTATAAACGAAACAATGTAAACTATATGTGTTAAATCAGCTTCCAAACATTATTGTGATGTTCTAGTCTGTCGAAAGATACGTATCTGCATCAGTAAAGGTCCGAATAGCTCAGTTGTAAAGTCACTGACCACCATCCTGTGTGATGCGGGTTCCAATTTCAGGTAGGACAAAAGTCTTGTCGGGTTTGGGAATACCCCTTATTGATGAATGCCAACAAGTACGAAACGTAGGTTCTGAGCTTCCTGCCTATTCCCCAAATCAACTAACATCTAGTATGTATGTTAGCTTTGTCATGAGCGTGTACACATGGCAAGTATTTTCCTTTAGTAGTAATGTGTCGAAATATAATTTTGTCACATAAGTAAAAAAGGAATACGGAAGGCCTGCTTAGCATTGTACACGTTGAAATGAAATTTCCTTATAATAATTGACAGTTTACACTTGGCTTTTCTAATTGCGAATTGCAGAATATATTAAAATATAATATGACATTAAACGATTATGTTCTTAATTGCTTCTGTGCGGTATCTATTAACTTTATCATTTTTTATTTTATTTTAAGGATGCTTACCAGAAGGTGTGAATCCCGTGAGTTTCTAAGCACTGTGGCCATTATTTGAAATGGAAGTCTATTATATTTCATAGCGACTTTATATCGGCTAACTTATTGGTTATGCGCACTGAAGTGCATTGCTACGTTCCCTGGTGTAAAATAATACCTTAATCATAAAAAGCTGGAGGTATATTATCGAAATTGCTAAACGTTGTTATCCGGACAAGGTTTGGAATTGTGTTTAGAGGCGGTTTTAAGTGGGATACGTGATGTTGTCCTCTCTCTACCTAGGATCTGTTGACTGATGCAAATGCGTCCCAGAGTTTTTATACTAAAACTGTCTCAAAATATGCAGCCACCTTTTCATCTAAACTATCATTTTCCAGTAGCTGTCGAGTTACGATAGTCAAGTCTCATTCAGCGTGTCCCAGTTGTGCATAGTCCTCGATTTTTCTGAAATTTAACTCACAGGACTAAGGTGATCAATCTGTTTACACTCCGATGGTAATGAACCTAGGGGATATAAGTCGTTTTCAAAACTGTTCATTGTAAGCAAATTGATATGAACGAGCTTAACAATTATCAAGTTTATTCTGGTCATCTTACAAGCACTTTGTCAGCACACTAAATTTCAAAATTGTATGTAGTCAAAGCCAATCGTTGTTCTTAGTTTTCGGTACTTGGTAGGGATAGGAATGCTGATCTTTCTGACATTGTATGATAAGTACAGTCCTTTCAATTTGGTAAGAAAACTGTTTTTAATAGCAGTGACAAGGCGTTTTCAACATTTACTTTTTGTCATGCAGTTATCAGTAAAACGAAGGGATGATGGAATAATGGTAGTCAAAATGGACAAATTATGATCCTTTCAACAGTTACTGCACCAATGTAGCTTGCTGGTGGGTCACGGATTCGAAATTCGCTCCACCTTATGAGATTCGAGCAGTTGGGTAGTATCTTTAGCTTTCACATAACAGATGTGGCTCATCGCCTATTGCATGGATATACATAAGGTTAATGATATCATTTCGATTCGACATCTTGCACTGTGGCCGGTTAAAGTGGTGGTTTTCATTAATTATACTAAAACGTTTTACAAGATAAACCAGTACATCGAGTAATGGACTATAAAGGTAAATGATGATGGGAATAAGCTGAAAAATATTTAGGAATTTCTCAGCTATACTCTTTTTTGACATTAAGATGGGATTATGAGTAAGCTGAAAAAAAGTGTTATAAAAGTGCAGGAAGGTTATGTGACCTAAACTACAACTCGTCGCGGTTAGGAACCTTCTCCCATCTGTTTGCTATGCTAGATAACGGCTTTATTTAGATCGTTTCGCTGAAGATCTCACTTATCCTATTGTTTAGAGAGTTTTATTGTTCTGATGAAGTAAATGGGTTCCACTTAACATAAAAACTAATTAATTTTGGTGATTATTTACTTCTGTTGAAATACTGTCTATTTCTCTTATAACTTAAAGATATCACGATGTATTTTCTTTGAAATATTTCTAAGGACTTCGTGCAACAGGAAATCTCCTAATCTCAATTTTACCCCTCATACTTTTCTTAAACTGTCATGACAATAAATATATTACGATTAATTTTTTTAAACGAAGTTTATGATGGATCTGGGTGTTATCGACAATAGTTTTTTGTTGATAAAATTACTCTTAGGTCTTTTTGTGGTGTAGATACAGCAATTTCACTTACTTTGCAGGCTTCTTAGACCTTCTCCTTCATATCTGTTAAAAACAGAATCCTGATTTTGGCTTTTTGTTTAAATCGTCATTTAGTTTATAGTGTTCAAGATATTCTTCATTTGAATAAGCAGACATCTATTAGGCTGCCTACTGTTATGAATTCAAAATCCTTTCCATATTTTCTCAGTACATTGCTTTCAAAAAAATAATTATTACCCGTAATATAACTTGAATATTGGGTTTTATTTTAGTCGTAAGTTTTTGAAGTCGAATAGCTTACATCCGAAATGATATAAAGCATTAACAAATTTTGCAAAATTTTATTTTCAGTGTTTATGACAAATTTTGTTTCAAGTTGTTATTCATCGAAGACTGACATCAGTTGGAGGAACAAAGAAAACCTGGGAGCACTGGACAGCTGTTTCGTCCTAGTATGGGACTCCTCAGCAGTGCGCACCCACGACCCCACCAGCAGGGATCGAACCCGCGACCTTCAGGTTCCGCGACCAGCGCGTTACCATTGAGCCACTGGGTCAGAATCCAATGCTGCATATTTCCAACTTCTGTTAGCTCACGATATAGCGCAAACCGCCACCCAATGTCATCGTTGAGTATTTGTCTTCACGGCCATCAGGCTTTGACTCCACCGGTCACGACTTGTCATTGGAACTTCGGGAATACTTCTCGAAGCTAGTCACCAACGAGCACTAGTTTAATTAAATTTTGAGGGGGGGCGGGTTCGATCCCTGCTGGTGGGGTCGTGGGTGCGCACTGCTGAGGAGTCCCATACTAGGACGAAACAGCTGTCCAGTGCTCCCAGGTTGCCTTTGTTCCTCCAACTGATGTCAGTCTTCGATGAATAACAACTTGAAATATTTCCAAATCTCCACAACCCCTCAAAATTTTGTTTCATTTAATCAAAGAAATTATTGAGTTCGAATTTTATTCTGGCTGCAAACGCTTTTATCTGTAGCATATATTTCTGGTATTCGACTTTTTGAGTAGATTCCCTTTTTTTCTTTTTCGTGGTTATTTATAGGTAACGTGAACATGCAAAAGCATAACTTTTGTTCTCGGGGCTGATAATTCCAATGTTAATCATATTTTCTGATCCATGACTATTATCAGGTCCAATCTTCAATGATGCAAGGTTGTAACCCAACGATCTATGCACTTGACTTTTGGTCAATGTACTTCAGGTTTGAACTTTGTTCAGCATACCAAGGTCTGAACAGCTAGGTAGTACCAATGAACCTCACACAATAGGTGTGCCCCATTGCCTACTAAGCAAAAGTGCAAATGGTTGTCCAGTGCATTTTGCTTCTCATCTTCAGTCACAAAACTTTATTATGGATCTAAAATACAAATCCTGTTTTCATAATAGTCAGTTTCAAATGTTTTGGCGTCAGTCATATACAGCATTAAGACATTCAAATAGATATCGCTCTTAAGTTTTATATTCGTTGGGGTGCGGCTTTCTTGAAAACGTGATTTTTGTAAAGGGATTGTATAGACATGTAACATTTGTTTTCTTATTTTACTTAACTAATTAGTAGGCTACATTGCACCAATGTTTATGGAAATATCCTAAAGGGGACACTCCAAACCCTTCTTGCTATTACAGGTATAGAGTGACACCTATAAAAAAAAATCACTTGTACAACTGTAAAACGTAATTGCTTGATTCTGGAATACCATTTACAATCAAGCTTACAACAAGTACTATGCTTTGTTTGATTACTTCAATAGTTGTTCCTACTGAGTGGAACTTGGAGGATAAAAGTTAGGAAAGTTAACTTAGAAAATCTTACTTCTTGCTTTCTGAATCGCGAATAACTGACTCAGAAGATAAAGAATGGATCCGTTGAACAATTCTAGATACTATCTCACTTCTATTTAAATTTACAACATTCATCTTATATTCCCCTAACTTTTCTTAAAAATAGTGGCATTTACTGTGTAATGTTCAGCAACTGAGCAAAGTTAATATATTGCTAAATTTTGCATTCTCTGTTTCCTACTGAACGATTTTATTACCTATTACTATTTCAATCGATAGGCTTACGAAAATGATGACGGGAAACGAACTTTTAAAAATTTTCAATTTAAAATGGTTAGTTATTTTGGTATGTGAAGGCTATACATGCATGCAAACAATGCAACGCTTACTTTTGCTACACCTAACACGCCAAATTAATATGCAAGCTGTGTTTTCTTATTTGTGTATGTTCCCATTTTCCACATTATTCAAATTTACTTTCGTAGCCATGCTCTGACTCAGTTCCCTACTATAATGGCAACAATTATTTTTCACAAAAATATATTACATCTCCGCCTTATTCTTTAATTCAACAGAAATAAACAGCTTTTTTAAAACAAGTAGTTTTCTTTGTAAACTTTGACAAAATAATAGAGTTATAGGTGGAAAAATGTAATTTTAAAAATCCCACTGAAGTTAAAAACTAAATATCTGGCGTTTTGCTGTTTTATGGAAAATCGCATCTTCTAAGAATAAAACCTACACAAGTTATCTGCTGTTTAAATAGTAGATAACTTGTACAGGCTTCATTCTTTAGTTTTATACCTCAGTGGTATTTTACAAATATATCTCATTTATAATCCATTTACCCAATGCTCAGTTTAATCAACTCTATCAGTTCAAATTTTGATCCTGAAGTATATAAAATAACAAGGCGTAATTTATATAAAAAGTGTAATGTATTGACCGAGTACATTTCGAAGAATCGGGTCACACACATACCAGGCATAATTATATTACTTTTGACAAAGGATATGTAAATTAAAAAATGTTCGATTTCACAAATAATCTACTATTCCAAGACAATATCATAGCTCACCACCAAAGGGGATCAGCAGAGCAGTTCGTGCAAGGGAGGTGAACATGAACAGGACAGTACTAGAATGTATATAGTTTCTGATCACTTTGGTTGAGACAAGAACTAGTCCAGTGTCCATCCACTCGGATTCAATATATATGCACCAGTAGCACTTTAGAAGAAGAAAAAAAGGCTCATCAAAAATAATTGGCTAAGAACTATCTCCTGAAATGTTTGGGTCTTAATAGGGATAGGGATACAGCCACTTCATAGAATCTGACAATCAAACAAAGACTCAAAGCATCCTTCCGGAGAATATACTATACAGCAAAAGGTAGTATTATGAATGATACCCTCTCAGTATTTGAACGATGGGACTATATCGCCTTGCATCGATTGGTTTGCATTCGTGTATGACCCTATAAAAGCAGGCAAAACATATCGATTTATGCAAATAAGAGTAACAAAGCCCATTCCAAATTGGGAGGAGCGACGAATCAAATCCAATGGCCCCCCTAAGCTGGGCGACAGGTTGCCGACTTCATATATAGCTAAATATATTCTTCAAATGATAATATGGTTGATATGTATGCATCTTTGTAACCTACTTACAAGACCAATAAGTGTATTGAAAAAAGTTTAAACCCCTTTTATGTATTGAAAAACAATCTGATGTTAATCTGCTTTGGCAACTCAGCCTAAACGCAGAGGTGATTAATAATTTAAGTTTCTCTTCCTGTTTGAATAAAAAATTTGGCCTTTTAATAAGTCAGTTATTTTTAGGTCCATTTTTTGTTTAAATTTATGTGAAATATGCACGGCAAGAAAGTATGCGATCAGATTGTTCGAAATACACTGCGCTAATACATAATACTTTTCATTTTGTTTCGCCGAGATACAGCCTACTGAATGCTTTTCATTTTTGCACTGTAACTAGCTTTTATATATCTATAGACTAATTATTATATACGGATATGTCCCAGATTTCATTTTCTTACTGATACCTGTTGCTCGGCTGGTGGAGCAGTCAACAAATAAGGTAAACATTAAGTTAGGTATGTACTTGTGAACATACAGTAACAAATTTGTTAGGGAATTATTCAGTAGCATTGAGAGTAGTGATGATCCAAAGCAACGAGTTCACCCGATCTACGTTTTTAAACTACATCCATATCGTCAAATTTTTCACTTTTAAATAATTCTAGTCAGTGTTAGAATGTTTGCATAGTAGCAGTAATTTGATAATGGTTTTGCACTTGGTATGGTATGGAAAACTAAGATATGCATCTTTATTGAACTGCTTATAAGAAGCAAGTGATATTCAGAAAGTAATTAACACTTTATGCAGTAATGTACGGAAATTGTGTCCTAATGGTGATAATTAAGTAAATATTTGCGGAAATAATTCTGTTAAAAAGTGATCCACATATTAATAATGAGCAGTTAATATACACATCTTCTAGATATACTCTTTATCCTGTTCTAACTTCCTTTGAAAGCAATATCAGGAAGCTGTAGGATAAAAGGATAGTCCTTTTCATTTTGATAGTTATAACATATCTCATCATTTAGCTTTAATTTTCTTAAGTGAAAAATGTGAGTTACAGTCCGAAAAAAATGTAGCCTAACATTTTTTTTTGCGTACTAAAGCAGTTTTAGCACTTTGTCATTTGAAATCACATCTGCAATTTCCAACGCTATTTTTCTATGTCTTAATCCATTTATTTATTCTATCCCTTGTATACATATAATTATGAAAGCTATTTTTTTCCACTGCATTTAATTTTGTCTTTTTGCTAACAATGCTGCCTCAGTTTCATCTGCTTTTATGCAGTGGATAGTTGAATGTAACATTACATTACAATATCGTTTGTATATATAGGAATAGCGCTCACTTTAATTATATGTGTATTTATAAATTGATGCAAACTACAAAGTACAATCGTAAAAATGATCTTTTTAAGTAAAGTTGCTAGCTTTAAAACGATATTTACCTCCAGTATTAGACAAATGAATCAAGCTGACATTCTGTTGGCAAAACAGTTGTGTCTGTGAATTACTTGATTTTTGGAACTTTCTATGCATTTTAAATGCTAGAAAGTTACAGTATAAGTGGCAACAAATGACCCGGGCATATCAATGCAATCCAACCTAAAAGCAGTTATACATTCACTTTGAAATCTACTGCCATTTTTTTCCCATTGAAGTGAATATTACTCATCTGTGTTGAATTAGGTGAAATGAATAAAAACTCTTTATATGTTATAATTTTGACTTTATTCAGGGATCAGCTCGTTCATCTATTTCTTCGTTTTCCTCTGAAATTAAGGTTTGTACAGTTTTTCCTAATAAAATATAAAGACACATTCAAATCATGATTCGCATTCTCACTGTAATTCACCTAATTAATATATTTATCAATCATTTGCTTAAAACACTGTAAATTTTAAAAAAAAATTATGAAACGTAGTTCTTTGTTGACATTTCTTATTCGCCACACTCGTTTCACATTCACCAATATTTATATCTGCGACAAAAAAAATACTAATTGGGACCTGATTATTTGTTGATTTGTTTAACAATGTTATTGACACTATATTTTTACATGAATACTGAACAGGAATGGTGAAAGCTCCAGGATTTGGTTGCAGCCATTATTTGTGCTGGCTAGCAAGTTTACCTTCAATTATATCACCTACAAAATGTAAATTTTTCGTCATGCTGGACAGATTACAACCTTTTTTATTCATTTTGAGATTTATATAGGGACTTGATAAATTTTTTATAAGGTTACGACTATCATCATTGTTCTGAATGAAAATATTTGAGGATCGTAATAATTACCAGTAAAGGGATTTGAAGTTTTGGAAAATGCGCTTCCTGTTTTGAAATATTGGGTAGCTTCTGGCTTTTCCTCTGATTTTTTCTCTCATTTATGCTTAAATTGAAACTCATAAATGAATCACTTGAAAACGTCCATTTCCTTTATTGTCAAAAGTGTATCTGATTCCGCCTCAGTTATACCACTTGTGTTTATTTCTACTATTTTATGAGATGAGATCATAGTAAAAATGGAATTATATTATCATAAGATTTGGTGATATAATGAATATATTTAGAAAGATACACTTAAATAAATGTGTACCTTTAATAGATTATTACTTCTAACTTTTCCAAAGAAACTAGTTAACATCAAATTCTCTGCTGGGTAACCGTAAATCCATTTGAATTTAAGCAAACATTAAGAAACGTATTCCCAGCTGTTTTATCATCGGTTTAAAATTTATGTCAGATAAGTTGAAAACCTAGTTAGAACAAGACATGATGTTAGTCTTTAAAACTCCTAAAAGCCTAATCTAAGTATACATTTTGGGACTGTGTAGAATGTTATTCCATATTAGACTAGTTTATTTGATATAGAACAGTGTGGTATAGTATTATAATTTGTTTGAATTTCCACCTGTTGAATAATACTATGTTATTGTGTGCTATATCAAATATACTAGACTAGTCCTAAAAGCCTAGTTGTTATAAACGTCCGGAAACTTTTCAAATATCTTAGTGCTGGTGTCCACGGGATTATGTAAATTATTTTATTTTGTCATAAAGTGAACGCCTATTAATATTGCAAGTGCAATAAAACATTCATAACTTCTTGAGTCCTTATTACTCATCACAGTTACACAAAAATTAACAGACTGACATCACATTTTAGTGTGTTTGATTACAAAGGGTTGCAGACAAAATGCTTTCAAGTCAACTTTCATGCAAAAAGTATATGTCAACAGACAGCATCTACAAATTTGGCGGAATGACCCACCCTTGAAAGCTTGCTATGGCTTACTCAAGCAGTAGGATAAAATTGATCACGTGTTTTCTATATTTTAGTTACTACCTAGATAGCAACTTTCGACCTTATCTAGTGCATGGTGAAACTTCCAACGTGAAACAAAAATTTTGTGGTTGAAGACGCAGACTCATAAATGCTGTTTATGTTTTTTATCTTCCTCGTTTTGTGAATTATTTGGGTGAAATGTTCATTTATTGTACAAATTTGGAACAAACCAGCGTGCTTTATCTAAATTGTTTTCTGCACTTATGATAAAAGGCTTTTCATTCTTTCTTTCTTTTTTAATCACTGAACACGCGTACAATATGCAAAATTAGTTAAGAATGTACTGAAAGTATATGCTTACTTCGATTAGATTACCTTTCTGGGACTCACTTCTAAAATTGGTTTTTACTGGGAAAGCAATCTTTGTGGAGATTAATCATGAAACCAGTACACAATCTTGGATTGAGCCAATCAGCTTATGCCAACTTAGTTTCTAGAGATTTTGTTGTTAGATTTCGCATTTTCGCACGGTGGTTTCATATATCAACGTGGTAGTGTTCTTGTTAAATAGTTAATTCACTTTAGCTCTACCATTTACGTACATACACTATGCATTTTGTTGAAGACAAATAATTTTATGAAGCTCATTATTTTAATCAATATTTTATCAAACATTCCTCTATGACATTTGTCTGCTTAGGCCATTACAGCCTATTTATCTTGGCATAATGATACTATGTTTTAAAACCTATCTCAGCACTATTTCTTTTAAAAGCAGATAATGCCAAGAAAACAAAATAGTTTGTCCCAAAAATTATTATATTCCAACCTGAGCAGTACACGAAAACCTCAACTGATAGACCATATTCAAGTTCAATACCCAGAAACTGACGAAACTACATAAGACATCCTCACGTCAGCCATCAGAACAAAACGGGAGACATTGAGCAACATCCCTAAAGGAACTTGTGTGGAATAACACTGGAACTCTTTGAAAATGATATGGAAACAAACCTGCATGACCATATTAGGAAGGAAGAGGAAATGAGACAAGGTATGGATCTTGTCAAATTTATAAAAGTTGATAGAAGAGAGGAAGATAGTGAAGTGGAAGACGAACAAATGCAAGGATGCAAAACGAAAAGACGAACTGAATACAACGTATAAAACACTACACCGGACAAAGAAGTGAAGAAGAGTGCGTGGAAAGACAAAAGACACTTCTACGAAACCCTGGCAAGTGAAGCGGAACAAGCTGCTGGTAGGAGAGACCTGACAACATTGTATCAAATAACAAGGTTAATATCTGGAAGGGAAGAGATCAATACAGATGAAACCATCAAAAGACACTGAAGGAAAGCAAGTTACCACAGAAGAGGAACAAAGGAAACGATGTACTGATCACTTCAAGAAGCTCTTGAATCTACCACTACCCGCACTTAGTCCGGAAATAACACCAGCAACCGCAGAACCACCAGTGAACACAGGTCCTCCGATAAAAGCGGAAGTCCTAAACGCCATAAAGTAGCGGAAATGCGAGAAAGCTGCAGGACCAGGTGCACTCCCTCCAAGAGCAATGAAAACAGACGCAGAGGCGACAGCGGACATGCACGCATCACTACTGCAGAAGGTTTGGAAGGAAGGAAGGAGGGAAAGAGAAGTACGTGTCCACTGATTGGAAGAAGGTCTACCTTGTCGAACTTCCAAAGAACTGAGACCTAAATCTTTGCAAGAACTGGCGAGGAATCATGCTGCTGTTCACCCCAGGCAAAATATTTAACCGCATCTTCGTGGTGAGACTAAAAGATGCACTAGATTCAAAATTACGACCGAAACAGACTGGCTGGTTTCAGGAAGTACAAATCATGTGCGGATCAAACTGCAACGCCAAGCTACGCATCATCATAGAACAGAGTATAGAATGGCAGTCAACTCAACTCAACCTCAAATTCATCGACCTTGAGAAGGCCTTCGACAGCGTCGACTGACAAGTAATTTGGCAGGCAGCAGCTTCAACAATATGGTTTCAATGCCATAAACATCTATCAACCCCAATCAAACAACTATATGAAGACACGACATACCAGGTAATCCACAATGGATAGCTCAGTGATGCCTTAGAAGTGAAGACAGGAGTGAGATAAGGCTGTCTACTATCACCCATGATCTTCTTGAATGTGGTGGACTGGATGATGCAGCAAACAGTGAGGAACGAGAAGAGAGGCATACGCTGTCTGACTGATGAATATTGCCTTGAAGATTTTGATTTCGCCGATGGTAATTTATGTGTAATGTCTTGTCGCACAAACTCGAAGATCTACAGACGAAAACCAAGAAGTTGACAGAAGAGGGGAGGCAACGAAGACGGGAGTTTAAGTGAGTGTTGAGGAGATGGAGGTGATGAAGATACCCAACCAACAACAGCATCAACAACAAGAGGCACCAATCGCCATTAATGGGAGAAGCCTAAAGGAAGTGGTCTCTTCCACCGACCTAGGCAAGGCAGTATCGTTTCAACTACAGGCGATGGTACAGACGAGCATGTCGAAACCATGATCGGAAAGACGCGAAGACAGGCTTTCATAAACCTGAAACCAGTGCTGAGATCTACTACACTCAGCATAAGGCGTGAACAAGACCGGGATTTTTGGCATCAATTTCAAGTCAGTGCTTCCATGTGATGGTTCACAGACTTGGTGGCATGCTACGCAAAGCACTTTAACAAACTACAGATACTCATCAACAGTTGTCTAGGCTCGCTCGATAATGATGACCTGATGACCGGGAAGAATGAGCAACAAGGAACTCACTGTGTCTGGTAACAAACCAACCAACAATCCATCGCTCAAAAAATTTGCAGAAGGAAGTGGAGATGGATTGGATTGGGCATGGACTGCGAAGACCATTTGGGGACACCACGCGCCAGGCCACGACGTCCAGTGGAATCCGAATGGGAAAGAAGGAGTTGGGGTTCTAGGCGATGATGACATGGGGGAGATCGTGTGAGGAAGAAATGAAAGCTTCTAAGGAGTGGTGGAGCCAGTACGAAAAGACTGCAGAGAACAGAGTCCAATGGTGACCTACTACTGAGTATCTGTGTTCCACTGGAAAGTGAAAGGAAAATAATAATAATAACAATAATTAAGAGGGATGAATTGCAAATTCTACAGGTATTTTACTTAAGGATGCTCACTGCTCAGTAGTTTCAATCATACTGAAGAAATAAGCAAAATATATATTGGCAGAAATGATAGAAAAATCCAGTCTGGAATTTTCAGACCAATATCAAAGAGGCATTAAGCTTGCCTACTGGAATTCGGAGATTTTGATCTCGCTTGACTAGCTGTCAGACAATTCAGTTGAAGATAAATTGGTTATAAGTTCAACTCAGGGGAACGTTCTTTTGCTCATAAATCACTGTGAATTTCCACGAAACTGAAGACAATTCACTCAAGCAGTAGTTATTGCAGGAAAACATCCATTGAATCATACAGAAATTATGAAAATCCGTTTATAAATACTTATATATTATATTATTTTCTTGGAAGAGAAAAGAACCTAGAAGACTTGGATTTCGCCGATGACTTATGCCTAATGTCACATAAACTTGAAGATCTGCAGGCAAAAACTAACAAGTTGATAGAAGAGGCAGCGAAAACGGGACTTCAGGTGAATATAGAGAAGACAGAAGTGATGAAGATACCGCACCACCACCATCAACAACAACAACAAACTCCAATCACCATCACTGGGAGAAATTTAAAGGAAGTAACCTCCTTCACCTATCTAGGAAGCACTGTTTCAACTACAGGCGGGACGGACGAGGACGTCAAAGTCAGAATCGGAAAAGCAAGACAGGCGTTCATTAGCCTGAAACCAGTGTGGAGATCTTCTGCACTCAGCATGCGGAACAAGATACGGATTTTCAACACCAACGTCAAGTCAGTGCTCTTGTATGGCTCAGAGACTTGGCGCGTCACGAAAGGTATTTCCAATAAACTACAGACATTCATCAACAACTGCTTACGCTCGCTGCTGAAGATCAGATGGCCAGAAAAAATAAGCAACAAGGAACTCTGGGAACGAAGCAACCAAGAACCTATCACGCAACAAATATGCAGGAAGAAGTGGAGATGGATTGGCCATGCACTGAGAAGGCCGACTGAGGACATCACGCGTCAGGCCCTCGAGTGGAATCCCCATGGGAAGCGACGAGTAGGACGTCCGAGGGTGACATGGAGGAGGTCGTGCGAGCAGGAAATGAGAGCTTGTGGGCTGTCGTGGGACCAGGTTCAAAAGATCTCAGAGAACAGAGGTCACTGGAGGCGTGCTACTGAAGCCCTATGTTCCACTAGGAACCCAAGGGACTAATAATAATAATATAATATTATTTTCTTACTTTTGTAATGCCTTTTTTGGTTATAGTACTTACTTATACCTTTACATAGAAAATTTACATACAATGCCTGTATATTCATTTTTTCGAAACAGACATTATGTCATATTCATTCATATTTTTTCATGAATTTTGAAGGAATTGGAAGTGCTTTTTCGATGATTTCATTTAGTTCACACTGTAGTTCTTCTTTACTTAGTTTCAACCGCGACTATTTGCTTTTTTATTGAACTTATGCAGTACAAAAACCTTATCGCATATAGAATTCGAACACCTAATTTTTAGCACTGATTAAGTATGAAGCAGTTACGTTTACCTCATCTTGAAGCTTACTATTTGCTTAAGTTGATTATTTAAGCGTATATTTGAGAACCCTATATTTACTATTATATTTTTAAAATTAACAATTCACTTTCTTTATACAATCTAGAAACCAGCATTTTTACAGAGAGCATCGGTTTCAACAATTGGATCTAGACATAAGGTGGGTTATCCGTTATCACATCTTTGTTAGTACAGATGTGGAGAATATTCTCGACCAGCAGTACGTTTTTGGTCAATTGATCCAATTTTAATGAAGCATGTTACTCTTTTTTTGCATTTTATTATATTTGCACTGTATTTTGCATGATTATTCTGCTCTGTTTATTCTTTGTCCTGCTATTGCAAGGTTAAGGCTTTTCCTAATCACTTCAAAGTTAAGCACATAGCTTAAATATTTGTAAGTAACCATATCAGAATGCTGCTTCTTAGACTTGGTTGCCTGCTACACAAGCTCTGAAGTACGTTTTTTTATGTGTAAACCACTTCGGTGGGATAAAGCAGCTCCTTTTATTACAGTAGATATATAAAAACATCTGCTTACCAATAAGCTACATGATGGCTGCTTGCGTTGCTTGAGGGAATAACCATACTTGCCTTTTGAATTCTTAAGTCCCAGCAGAACAAAGTAAATTTCAGTTTGGCTATGCACTGCTAAAGTCTGCCACATAACCCAAGATGTTAAATATATAACACAAGTGAAACGTGAAACTGTAAATGGCCGAACAATGGGTGAACTGTAAATATAAATTAGTAGGATGCAGAATGGGATCTTATTCTGTTACCCTTCTATTCGTCAGATGCTAGGGAGGTGATGACTTTATTGATTTCTCCACTTTAGTAAATCGTCATCGACTTCAAATTAAGATGATAGCTAAGTATGTGCTACAGATCCCGATTTTATTTAAGTCAGCACATCATAAGCTGATAAATTTTGATGCTTATAACGTCTTTCTACTCCTTCATTACAACTGACTTCTTGCGATACATTAAAACCGTAATCAATGTACCTTTCTTATTTCATTCGTTTCCACGCTTCATGCATCAAAGTAGTAAGGTTGAGTAGAAGAAATTGTTTCGTAATTTATACTGTCTTTAATTGACGTCACGTTGTAACGCTTTAAAATAGAGAAACCGAGGTTCTTGTGGGCACTGTAGTAAGAAGCAGGAGAAAAAGAAAGTTGAAAGTCGAAAGAAGTGTTTGCAAAAGTTCTACATTTTATATTCACAGGTCCAGGTGTATATAAAGTAATTATATACATTTCACTAGTTGGCAAATACGAAGTGAAGGGTACTCTTATCGTTCCTACTTGCTAATCGCCTGTAGGTTTTGCTAACTTTTAATATCATGGCAAAGGAATAAAGCACTTAATGGATATATTTATGTAGCTAATTACTTTTACTTGTTTACCTTTATGAAACTTCACAAGTTATATATCTTGTAATAGTGATGTATGATTATGATAATGAAAAAAATGTTACTTTTTGGTTTTCTAACATTCCCACAAGAATGATTATTCTCATTTCGATTTCGATGGAACCTTACAACTCTTGAAATGCTTTCTCTTTCCCTGCTTCAAATTTCTGGTGCTATAAACAAAACTAGTTCTTTTGCGACAATCTTTCCTACTTTTGTAACGAAGCTAGGCTGCTGTTGCATTTATTCTTACAGTGCGACCTACTTTCTCTTTATCCTTCAGAAAAGTATTACTGCAAGCAGAGGCTCAGCCTCAACAAATGACTTCAAACCTAAGGTAGGTGAAGTATTTGGTGCACCCATCAAACTAATACTGACAACAATTTAGCTGTAAAATTCTAATTATATATGTTGCAAAGTTGCACCATTCGTGTTGTATTGCTAATTAGAACCTATAGTTGCTTTTTGAGATTCAGATTTATTTTGTTGGTTATTTCATTTATTTTGCCCGCATAAATAATTTACTGAAAACAACAGATGATAAGAGTCCTCAAGTTTACTGTTTAGATTGTCTTGACTAATCTTGGTTGAAAAAATGTTCTTATTTTACGAGATTAAGATTCCAGTTGAGACGGGAATATGTAAACTTTGAACTATAAATTATTTCACAGTTCCAAGCACCATGGCTTTAGCAAGTCATTCAACTTACGAAGTATTTTTATTACTTAGATAGTATTGAAGTCTACAGTTGACGCTCACTTGCAGTGAAATATCTTTATAAAACGTAGATACTGAAAACCATACTCAAGAAAGGAAACTTGTGAATACCTGTCATATGATGAGTGGGGTAAAACGGTATCTTCTCTCAACACTATCATTTTTGAGCAAAGATAATTGATCTTTGAGTTGAACCTGATTTCAACATTAAGCCAATTATCATGAATTTTTGAGTTGAACGACGGTCATAAGCAGTTATATAGATACCTGTTCAACAATCCTGACAACTTTACTAGACTACAGTCTGTGGCTACGTTATAATACTTTTCTTAACTAAAAGACGTTCCAGGAAATCTGAGAATTCGAATGGGATTTAATCATAAGAACGACGTGTATAACCACAAAAATACTTTAAGAAAGCAGAGGATAGACTAAATAGTAATCCCAAAGTTTGTGAGAGTAAAAGTTCAACACTAAGTTAATGAATAATTTTATTCTAGATTGTTTGTCTGATTTGGTGTACAGTGATGTAGCAGTATTTATTGGATGCAATTTTGAGCACAGTTTGTGCAGCTTCTGAATTTAGCTTATGGACCTAAGTAAACGAGTTCTTTGCATACATTTTTCAAACATCGCAAATTTCAGTGTGTGTTGTCTCTTTTAGCAAAATGAGTATAACATTGAAATCCCTGGGAAGTATGGGATAGAGGTTGTTAGTTCGTTTTTCTTTTGTTTTAAAACATTTGTTCACATCATCTTTTCTCTCAGTATAACGGGTCTGGGTTATATTATTACGTCTCATTGGCGTCTTGTGAAGTGACCGCATGCTTTTTATGCACAACTTTCTTTTACAATCTCTTCATTCTTTCCTTACTACTGATCAACTCTATATCTTATTGTTTGTATCCATCATTACTAACCAAGTCCGTTTGCACATGCAATTGGAATCATGCATTCAATTGCGCTAGTTATTGGGGAAGAATAAAAACCGTTGACTATCACGTGACGCTCTGAATTCAGTGGTATAGAAGAGAATTATCTTTAAAAAGATGAATGTTGTGTTTTTGTTATCATTTTTATGTACTTTCACGAAAACTGCACTCGAATTTTAGTAACCCAACATCACGTCACTTTGCGCAAAAGTATATTAGATTACAGTATTAATCCCTGCTCGCTTGAGTAAATTTTTTCTGTTTTGCTGCTTCAGCATCTGGCCATCTAGTCCACTTGTTTGGTGTAGAACTAAGGCACTGACTTTATATCTGGTTTCTATTAGGAATACAAATAAGCAGTGAAAATCACTATGCATAATATTTTCAATAATTGTCTCTCTAGGAGTGTTTTTCTGTCCAGAGATCGTGTTTGTCATACAATGATCTTAATTATCAGGTTGGTATACTATTCGAAGACAGTGAAGAAATTTTGATTTGAAGCTGACAAGCAAATATCTAGGCAAATTGACTGTCTAATGCAAATAATTGTGTTTCACGCTTTCTTCTGCGTTTTGCTATTGTCTAGTTTATCTGTTAGCAGCGCACTGAGTAAAAATTTAAATTCACGCTTCATAACTGACTGCCTTTTTGCACTCATGCGGTATAAATGTTTCACGTTGTATGTTTGAAACTAACACTTACAGGCCACTGTTAACCTAAAGAAGTTTTCGGCAAGAGTAAAGTGTTATCTTTCAAGCTTTCTCTGTGTAAATGAACATGAAATTTTTCTAAGAAATCATTAGTAACAATTGATCTGCCGCTTAGTAAGTTAATCTTGCTCAGTTTGGTTTATTTTCGCTCATTTGGTTCAGTACAAACACCAACTTCATACCGGTTTTTCCCTTTTGTGATACTTTGTCAGCTTTCTTTAGGTAGTAGAGATCAAGGAACTAGTTCATTGGCAAAAGCTCTCAGTATTCATCATGAATATCAACATCCTTATCATCGATACAATCAACCTTTAACTAATTGTATGTCTACTGGCTCAGAAGCCTGTACTGTCATCTGTGGTTTGGTTGAATTCTTAAAAGCACCTATTCTTGTGCTGTTAAGATTAAACAAAAGTATTCAACGTTCGTGTATTTCTGAAGTGGATATTCCTGTACGCTTTATATTTATTTATATCGGACCTCAAGTTGATGATCTGAATTATGCTGAAATGGCTCGTATATTTGCTGTAATGATGACCAGTGATGTAAGTGATAACGTCTATTCAGTATTACTCGAATATCATTCCTGTTTAATATGTTGGAGAAGGCGCTTTTATTAATTTTTTCCCTCATATATTACTTCGGTTTAAAATTAATGTTTAGATTCTGGTTTTCTGCAATGCAGTGTACTACTGACAGTTACCAACTTACTATCAGATACCTGTATGCCTACTGGTGCATTTTAGCATGTGGGTTATCATCTGATACTTTTACCTTACTCCATCAATCTACGTGGTGACGTTCTGCACATATTTGTCAGGGAATCTGTTTGCTTTCATAAACAACTATTGTTAGTTCAGAAAACAAACAATTGCGAGACTACAAGTAAGCTGGAAAGGCTGTTTGGTAAAAATATTCAGTTTAACGATACAGTAGGTCTTGTGTCCGTAGTTTACTATTCTTACCAATGGTATACAGAAATAACCTTTCAGAAGCTTATGTTGCACTAAAATATTGTGGGCTGAGTTTCTAGCATCAAAAATGAAAATACAGCCAATCAACTATTAAAGTAAACGATTATAAACTACAAAAAAATATAGTAAACCAAGTATCTTTGCTAAAAATATCTTTCAGGGCGACAACAAACCAGTTCTGTCCACAAAAAGATGAAAATGGTTATTATCTTGTCATTGAGTTACTAGCCTACGTTTGTATTCGTGACTTTGATGGTCTCACAGTGATACTATAAATTTCGATAATGAGGAATTGGAGTCCTGGTTTTTGACGGGAAATGTTTCGTCTTTGTGTAGATAAGTTCCCTTACAACAAAAGGCAGCTTTCTAAAAATATCATGAATACTAAATAAATGTTTCGAATAAACGTTACCCTTTTGAAATTAAAGGCGGATCTAATGTAAGGAAGCAGAAGCAAAAACCAAGAAAATATATTCATCTAAGTAAATGGAATTTAAGTTGATTTCCTTTACGATAATGAAGTTATTATATTGCCATATATGTTTCTATCGAACTGTAACTATTCTGAATTAAAGTCGACATATGGATCTATTATACTAAGATGGCTTACAAAATTTTCAGAATTATTTTTCTGCGACACTTTCATACTTAAATCCAAAGTCTATTCAAAATCCATAATAAAGAATTTTTTTAAATGTTTCCATAGAAAATATTTGCTTACGCTTATAATACATCATCTATTTAACATATTTTGTTCATTAAAATGACAATATTAACACTAATAGAAAAAAAAGTTGAGATGCACTCACTTGTGATATTTAGATTTGTGCAAGAGGCAATTAGACAACGTATTTTGTGACAGTGTATGACAATAATTAGTTGAGTAGAGCTTTGTAGATGGAGTAGGTTTCTAACACATAGCTGACCGGTTGAAAATAAGGTGACTGTCTCAATGAGTCAAGGCTCCGAACCAACACTATCAATAACAGATTGGTTATGAATTTTAAGTATAAACGAAAACTGACCATCATATATTTTCTGTTTCAATAATGCTCATAGACAAGCATTTTCAGCCAGTGGTTTTAGATTTATTGTCTGATAAACTGTTAGGAAACATTAAAACGATAAAACTTCGCACTTTTTGCTGCTTATTTCATGTATAATTATGACCTTAAGCTGTAATGGGTATCAAATTTAGGAAACCCATAACCCTTACTCAAAATTGTGGTTATAAATTTTTGGTTATCATACCATATATGATAAACAGTTGATGCATACACTGTTCGGTGATTGAATGAACTTAAAGTAAGGCCGCGTTATCTTTCATGTCTGAAATTTAGCAAATGATATTTTTTGGGTTGATATTTGATATATACATGCAGATATGCCTTGCTGACGAGTGTCACCAACCACGAAACCTAACTCCGGGCTTCCTGCCGATTCCCCGTAACCAAATAACATAACGGTAATATATATAGTTGCATATTTAGGCTTCCTAAAAATTACTGCATAAAATGTATTATGGATTAGATAGGATTCCCTGTTTGTTTTCACAACAAAAACGTTATCGTCCTGCCTGTTTATGAGAAAGGATACTGTCTTCTTTATGTTATTTTTTTTCAAGTTTGAGATCTGAAAACCATTTTCAATCGTTTAGGTTTACTCAACTTGTTTCACTCTTTATGCATTTAGTATCTGATTATGCAGCAAAATTAGCATGTTACTGGAAATCTTATCCTTTTACTTTATTATTATTCAGTTTATTCTGAGAACATCACACCCAAAAGCATTCCTTTAAAAAACTTTAGGGATATAATTTAAGATTGCTTTTATATATAAAACGGTCTTTTTTTGCCAGTGATGGTTACTGTGAAATATTTTTTGTGGAAATCAATTCACGATAATTAATTTTTCAGCACAACCAGAACAAGCACATCAGTTTTTGGAATGTCCTAAAAATGATCATGCAAGCAAGAAAGTTTATTGGCTTCAATGAAACCTGTGCGCTGTCATATGCATGCAGATAATTCTGCATAGTGCTTTCGTATTGTCACAATAATATCTGCCATGTTATCATAGTGTGAAAGAGACTATTCGATAGCTAATAAGTGTAAAGGGAGGTGGTTTATTACTTTTTTATACCTCGATATTGTGCAAATTTAGTTACTCGGTTACTTTTTCTCCTTATACAGGTCTTCCGAGTTTCTGTCTACGATGCGATCACTGTTGATGATATAGTCAAAGCGACTGACGCCTTCATGCAGGATTCACTGGTAATGCCACTTTCTCGTCATTATAATGCTAATGCGCTTGCTGGGATGACGCGTCAAATAGAGGCGTATCGAAGAGAAACAGTAATCGAAAGAGATGTGGATCGTCGTGTGAGAGGTATGTTTTATAAATTTGTGTATATACTTCAAGTAATGTAATTTTTTAGCCGTTTTATCGTTGAGATGTGTACACATTAATTGATTTGATGAAAAATGGCTGCTCACTTGGTGTTGTAGACTGTTTTAATATTAAGTCATCCGGAATAAAGAGTAAACTAACGTGAACGATGTTACTTCTGCATTATTTTCATTCTGATTTTCAATAGAGATATGAATTCGCTTATTAATGAGGCTTATTAGTGAAGATAATATATATTCATTATTTCGGTCTGTAATTCCAAATATATGAATAAAAAAACATAATGGTTTCCATCATAAACAATAGTTTATGGTTTGAATTCACTGGGAAGTACAAGTAACGAAATAATGAATATTATATACTTAGCCCATCTAAACTCCATGCAGCTTGTTCACGAATTACAAGTAAAATAGGCTTTGACCGAGTCTATTAAGTGATGCATAAAAGAGAAGTCAATTAACAGACAATTATGCCAATACCAAGCTTACAGTTTTTCTTTGCTTTCATTCTGATTCACAAAAATGCAAATAAATGAAATACTTCCTTGATAAATTTGTTTGTTGAATACTTCCGGATAATATGCAAGAAATACTGAGGCATCATGACGGTGTGTATTGCTAATCCTCAGCAATGTGTACTTTTAAATATATATGCCTTTTGAGATGTGAAATCGATTTCAACACTTTACCAGTTAGGAGTTTTAGAAATAAAACCTCAACACTTGACGACAATAACCATTTAGCTTTAAAACTTCATTTTCAACCTTGCTACGTTTTCACTTCTCCTCAATTCATTATATATATTTAAAGCATAGTGATGTTTTTTAAGCCAAAATGCTTTTCATGCAAACTACTGCAGAATTTTTTCGGTAGAAACGAAAAAGGAAGCTGAGGAAAGGTCTAAGCGCAGTGGAATTTAAGGTCACCAAAATGATTTTGCCTCATAAAGCGGAGTATGACATAGAAGTTGTAAGTTGATCATATGTGAGGTAGAGAAATGTCTTTAAGATTTCGAAACTGGGAGCAGTGATAAGAAAATAAGCTCAACGACAAATGTATGCACTCACATTTCAATATTTTGTTTCAAGATAATCCAAGACTGTGTGATATGGAATAAATATTAATGAAAACGTTGTAACTGATCGTGAATGGTATGTAAAAAACAGTAACAACTTCCGCGAATTACTGATTAGTTGCAAAAAACTAAGTGATAAGTAATTAAGTTATTACTTGAAATCTATGCCAACAGGTTTCAATGAAAACCCCTAATCCATATCTTGTAAGTACCGCATTAACCAGTTCATGAATGTACATTCAAAAAAGTAGACAATTTACAGTATATGCATTGACTTTGAAAATTTATGTTAGGCTCCTCATCATCTTCAGCTGTCCCAGTTAACATTTGACAGCGACAGACTTCTTGAACTTCAGAAGACAAACAAAAATGTGCGCTAATTGTTTTATATTATTCGTCTATTTTCATCGTGCTCTAAAATGATTTTGATATTCAGCATTTCCTTATCGTTATTATCGATGTCTCTGAATAGTGTATTTTACATTTCATTTGCTTTTATTTTCTTGTTAAAAATTGCCTTTCTTTCTGCCTGTTGTATATACATATCACTTTCAGACACAAAACTAAACATCTGTTATTTTTTTCTTGACTTTTTTATATCTCAAATCTGTATTCAGATAAACCAAAAGTGTGATCGTGTGAATTCAGTGCTGATACATAATAAATAATCTTTCACTTTCACTCTACCTTCTGTACGTTTTAGCTTCTGTGTTAACTTTTTATTGCATATGCATTGTTTGCTCTTCATACGTAAACACTTAAATTTATAAAATTGTTCCATTGTATGGTCTTTCTTTTTGTATCACATTAACACATTGCATTCACTATAGATGGGAATTAAACAAAAGCATGTTAATACATTTGTAATAATTATTATTACTGTTATGACAGCTATGATGAAATGAAATAAATTTACTGTGTAATATTAGATTTATTACTTTCAAGGTCTAGAAGGGGACAAATTAATAACCATAACCATGAATGCAAAGACTTATTTCGTGTTTCTTGAAAATATTATCTGTTTTTATTTATATTCAGTCATTTATGCAGTTGATGTATTCAGTGCAAAGTTGCTTTTTTCTTTACTTTATGTTGTCAAATAAAATAAAGAGAAACAAAAGTCAAATAAAATTTCTTCTTATGATCATACTTTTTGAGTTCCCTATATTAGAGTCGGCCTGTGGTAGGCGTTGTAATGCTTCATGCTGAGAATTCCAAACTATACCAAGAGTATTTTGGAACAAAGCGGTTTCTGTTACTATTAGTATGGTTAATAAAAATTATCACTCTAAATTTTTAAAGTGTCATAACATTATTTCTTGCTTTCAGAGTCTGATCAAGATATTCAAGAGACATTGTGCTGTATTCTTAGTTTACGCTCAAAATTTTCACAGAGGGGATCGCATATATTTTTTGCTGATAGTCAGAATCCTTTCAAAAAAACATGAATAATTCATAAGCCTTTTAAGCGTCTGAGTGATTATCTTTGTAAAAGGAATTCGCGATTTCAAGCATTCATGTGCTGAAAATATGACTTTTTCGTCGCTCTGATAGATCGAATATAATCTGCACCTTATAATTGTAGTTATGTTGTGCGCTTAAGAAGTTTCCAATTATCTTAGCTGATAAAGTCTGTCCGCTTCTTCAACCAGATCGAATGAGTTTTCATTGCATTACCGTCATCAAATAACAGCCTTCTTACGTAATACTGAGGTTCAGTGTCACAAGAAAAAGTCATCATTTAGTTGATTTTCAGTTTCCTGTCTTCTGTCATACTTGGCATCGTATTTCACAGTATGCATTAACTTAACGAAGTTCTGAAGTGCTGATTACATTACCAAATAAAAAAGAGCAGTGACAAAGAGGCATGAATCGCAGTACCATAATTGCTTCAGTGACATATTCAAAGTGTAGTATACCGGTAGCATTGAGGATGAGTTAAAGTCGTTTTGTATCCACTTTCATCTACACAAACTCCAAGAGTAGCTACCGAAATATGATTGCCCTGCTCGCCATCCTCAATATTCCTGTTATTGTTATCACACTTGGTTTCGTTTAGTCTATAATATCACAGCACTTTCAGTTTTTGTATACGACATAAATCTCACATAAATCAAAATTGTCCTTATAAATGAATAATGCTTGCTAAATCAACTCTTGCAGACACTCCCTTAGCTCTTTCAGCATACCGTGGTCGATCTTTTACCTTAGTTTAGTTGATGAGTTCGTAAAACATTCTAGTACATTGTGATTTAAGTTTTTTAAGTATATTGTGAACTACTGTAGGGAGATCTTTAACGAATAAAAGGTTATTTTAAAGTTGTAGATGCATTTTACTGTTGTCTGCTTGTAATCGAGAACCCTTTTTTCTTGATACCCAAAATGTGTGCATTGGTCATGTGATAATTTTATCGATTTCATTTTATTTATAATTAAATAATGTCTGACGATCACTGCTCAAAATAATGCATTATGATACGTTGCCATGTATTGTCTGTTTATTCGTTTTTAAGTAATAACTTGAATTATACAAGTTATGTACATTTTCATCATTTTGTGCAGCTTTGTTTACAGTAAGAAAATCCAATGAACAATCCCAAAATAATTTGGTTAACGGGTCATTCCCTCCACCTTCATCCAATCTTAAGCAACAAGACAGCGCATTAAAACCTGATGGAGATAAACCGCCAATCCCACAGACTGAAATTGACACTCCAAAAGTTTCCAAGCGTCAAATTTTTTACGTGATTTTTGCCCTCCATTTATTGAAGTAGCACGTGGAATTAAACCGTGGATAAAACGCATGCCGGGCGATTACAAGGATGCAATCAAGAAAGAAAACATTGGTATTGTATTTGGCAGTGTTTTGTTTATATACTTTGTCAATCTGTCGCCTTCAATCACATTCGCTGCACTGTTGAGTAAGTTGGATTGTAAAACAGTGTTATTTAAATAGTGTTTTTTTTACCATTTTAGTGTTAATATTTTTTGTAGCTAGAAACATAATTGAAACTAACAACGAAGCTCATTTGTAAACATCAAGATTTATTTAAAAAGCATATTTACTGTATATAATTAGGTTTGATAAAGCACATAGAATTTTCATCCCTTTTTATATATCCACAAATAATTTGTAGGTACATTGACTCTAACTTAGAAGCTCAGCTGTGAAATTAAGGGTTATTAGTTTTTATATATATCATCTTTCACGAACCATTTATTGTTTAACCCCTAAACTAACAAGTCAGCTTTTTACTATATAAACCATTTTAATTCCCATGTTTGTGATAATTTCATACGTAAGTGTATGACCAAACTGTGAGATGTTTTGTTCTAATACGGCAAACATTTCAAACAAAAAGTGCCTTCTTATTTTTCATTCATTGTAGTATTTTTGTTCATTATTCATGATACTTGTAATTTCCTCTTGGTATACAGGGGCGAACTGCCCGACCTCTGTTGGCAGGTGGGCTCCTTGCGGATGCCTTGATACTGCCGAATATTCATGATGTTACACTGATCTGGTCTAGCGCATAACGCTCTGGTGTTCAAAGCGAAAGAGTATTGGGCTCGAGTAGCAGTGGGCATAATATCACTCACTGTGGTGCAGGTACATCCTGTTGGTGAGTCCCAAATAAGACGAAACGAGCTTCCTGGATTATTTTGCTAGTTATCAAGACCAATGTAGAACCTTGAATATCCGTCAGTATCAAAGGATCGGCATAGGAACCCACCTGCCAACAGAGCTCGAGCAATTCTGGCCTGTATAGCAACGGGAAATTACAGGTATCATTACAGAAGCTTTTATTCATGATGATGTTTCCCCACAAACATATAACTTACCAGCCCAGTGTTCTGCAAACAGAGTCACGTGAGTTAGTGGCTGACCAAGTTATGACTTCCCTATAATCAACAACTGCCCAACTTCTGTAGGAATCTGTGATACGCTATTTTTCATGCATCGCTGTTACACTTGCTATCCAAACAGTTCTTTTCCCCACAATCCAGGTCGAGGTGAGTTAGAGATTAGGAGCACTGGGTTGAGTATTACTGAAAATATCTTAAGTTGCCGTGGTTTGGTACACTGGTGTTATGATACTGGGTGATCTTTTAAGATCAATAGGAAATCTTGGACTACTTTGATTGCGATGATAAGACCTATTTGAGCTGTTAGTGTGATTCTCATGACCGGAAATGTACCACTCATTCACATGGAAGTGCAGCAAAACCATCAGCAAAAAACTTTGTTAAGTAGAAACTTATCACACTTCAAATTCAAGAAGTTATTGAAACAGTTTATAATCAATTTTGCCCTATCAGACAGATGAATAACTAAAACAGTGGTACGTAGACAATAACTTCAAATTACCTGTTAGCCTTGAGGGAAAAATTTATTTCCTTGTGTTTTTGTTTCTTTATTTTTAACTTCTATTACTGAAATGCGCCCTCATGAGGTCGTTCTTAATTATCACCTTAAGACGTCCTTTCCCTCTGAAGTCTACTTAGAAAGTCAACTTCAAGTGAATACTTCGTAGTGAAAGATTTTTATTGGTTTGTCTGTTCTGTCTTTTTTGTCTGTTTTCTGCAGTAACATCAATAATTGCTTATGCATTCACCAGCATATGAAAAGTAGTTTTAAACACCCTAGGAAATTCATAGCTTACATTAAACCCTTTTTATTAGCAAGTACATATTAAGCTGTCTGCTCACTTTTATTCGTAATAAGTTAAGATAGTTAGGTAGATGGTGATCTCTCTGCTCAATACATTTGCATCTTAAGTAGTGAATATCTTTCAATCCACTTGTCTTATTAAATGCCTTAAGTTGAATCCGCTTGCCCGAAACGAAGGTGAAATAGGATGCAAAACGTTATTACACATCCCAGTTAAGCAAAAAAGTTTCAGTTCATGAACATTCCAAACTTGTCATAGAGACATTGAGTTCTGAGTGAATTCAAGGCAGTTATAAGATTCCTTTGGTTGTCAGTGATACAAATGAAAATCAAATTCAAAACAGCACTGAGATATACATTCAAGGACGGACCAATTCAGTTCAGTGAAATAAAAATTTGGAGGACTGCAAGAATGAGTAATTAATAATTGATATTCCTTTCACAAGCTACGGATTTCATGAATCAGCAGACTAAGGGACAATGTTTAGGTGTTTATATTCTGTCTATATTCGTCTATATTCTGTTGACAAATGCAATGTAGACAACCACGTATCTTAACTTTCAGCTTAACTTTATATGCTTTTTTACTGTTATGTGCATCATTTGCTTAAAGAAGCTTTATATCCGTGTCCAAGCATTAAGCAGTTATCACTTAAGTGATATGTGCGTGTGATAGCAAAATCAGGTGATCATATTTTAGATGTCTTAACTTTAAGTTCGTAGCATTGATTCTGTGCTAACCATAAAACATTTTCCGGGGTAGCGTTACTTTTTATTGGTGTAATGATTGTCTAAAAAGTAGTTTGACTCACAAGAACATGTTGGTTGAATGTGGTTCAGTTAGTTGGGTCCACAACACCCTTGTCGAAGTGTAAATTATGGTCTTTTTAATCGAGCATTATTTGGTCTTGTATAGGCATTATATTTTTGAGAAAGGGTAGGTATAGAAATAGGTTTACATGCGGGTAGCTGACATCAATTTTATATCTATTAGCAACATGCATACTTTGAAAACAAGGATTATGTATTTAATGACTAAAACAGAAACCTTTTTAGCTCAGTGAGGCTTTCGACATAGAAGAGTAAAGTCATGGAAAAGTCTTTAAAATAAACTATTTTTGTCGACATGCAATATTTTTAGAAAGTTTCTAGCTAAAGAATGCGTTCTCATCTGAAAGCTTTCGGAGAGGATTGTTTTCCTTTATCTTAAAATCACGTACATTAAGAGCTATTTAAAATTCATTTCCTTTAATAATAAACAGTATTATAAACATCAAAGTGATCCTGAATGCAAAACAAACTTTTAGAAGAATGAAAGCAGAAATAAAACTAGTGAATTTTTCCAGGTTAAGGGTTATTAAACCGAGGACAGAAGATTTTCACTCATGTTAAGAACATTGTATATTTTGAAGCAGACTTTTCTGGTTTACTGCCATAGTGTAAAGAATTTCGAATTTGTTTACTGGATGTCTCACTACTCAGTGGTTTTAGTTCCAACAGACTTAAGATTAAACGATTGGCTTCACACGTTTCTGTCAAGTATTAGGATGAGAAGTATCATGTAACTAATACAAGATTGGAACACTGAACAACTTTTGTTGCAAATATGATACAAGAAAATTGTTTACGGTTATTTGCTCTGGCTGCAAAATTATTCAGGGATTTTTGTAGCTTTTATTAGAGGTCATTGTAGTTTGATATAAAATTATGTGATTTCATTGCAAGCTAACGTGAAAATAAGTTGAGAAATAATCATGCAGTACATTCCGAAGAAAAATATCATAATTTCAAAATGTAGTAATCCGAATACCATGGAATTCAACTTGGAAAAAATCGAAAAAATCTGATAATATAGCTATAATATGTTCTTCTCAAGATATGAATCACTATCTGTCTTTTCCATTAATTCCTAATGTCGTTTGATTTAGGCCTTTGTAGAGGCTTGACTTGTATGTGACAGATGAAATTGTATTTAGAGGAACAGCGTCTGGTAATTAACACTTATAATGAAAAGAATTCTTTTAAAACTTGTCCACCCATTTAATAATTTGCAATTTACAGTTGCTATATAGGTTCAAATCGTTTGACCTCTGTTGGCAAATAGGTTCCTAAGCAAGTGCTTCGATGCTATCGTGCTCCAGTGACCTAGTGAAAAACGCTTTGAGGTTGGAAGCGATAGCTACTGGGTTCGAGTCTCAGTGGGAACAACGTTGTTCACTGGGGTGCATACATATCTAACTGACAAGTCCCAAATAGGATGAAACGAGCAATCTGGATTCCACTGCTGGTCACTAAATTGAATTCAACAGCCAACAATTTATTTATTCCAATTACAGAAAAACGTGTATCAAGCAGAGTAACTGGTGCGATGCTTCCAGTTTCAGGATCTCAATTTTCATTATCCATAGCGATAACGAAATAGTTTTTAATGACATTGTTACACACATTTTCTACACTGTCACTAGTACTGCGTACTTATATCTGAAATGACCCGAAATGCCATGAAAATGAAGGATATATAACAATGTTTGCTTACGTTATAAACTGATATCTAATTTTCCCGAGTGTATTTATCGGAAGCCCTAGCAGATTTATCTAAGTTATTTTAAGGGTGCTAATAATCTTACTGAAGCTTAGTAATTTATAGGAAAAAGAGGCCTTCTTAGCCATACTTATGACTCTCTGAAGATTATTTTATTTTTTTATATGTACAGTGACACCCTACATGCTGTAACTCTGTGATGGTTGAAGGACAACAAATGTTAAACGTAAAGTTTCTAGAATAGTCCTTAAATTCAGTGATTTACCTCGACTTCTGTTGAGTTGTTTGTTTCGTGAATTTAATGTCAACGCTAACTTGACACATTTTTCTCTCTACCAGATACACAAGTAGATCCGTCCTACACAGTAACGTTGACACTGTTGTCAGTTGGGATATATTTGATAGTTTTCACACTCTTATCTGGTCAACCGCTGGCAATAATTGGTATATCTGCGCCTATATATATTGTTGAGTCTTCGTTGGTGTCGGTAAGTATATGTATTTTTTCGTTTCAAGATTAAACAAAATTCTTCGAAAATTCATGTATATACATGTATATATAAATTAAGCCGTTGTTGCATTAGCGTTTTTAGTCTGTATTTTTCAGAGTAAGGTGAATTTTAATGAGTGGTTACCAGCTTTTAACTTACAGTGTTTTAATCACTCCTGGACTTTCAAAAGATTTTTCATCAAAAGGACATTTAAACAAAGTATTCACTTCATATCTCATCTCACTAACCAGCTTTTACAAGGTATGCATAAATTACAAGTGTATCAGAACGTTTACTAGTGTAACATGATTTGTAGACTGGATTTTCTCCTAGAATATGTTCATAAGAATATATGAAGCCTTCTTAAATTCCACAAAAATTTCTCATAATGCTCTTTGGTCGATTTGCATTGACACTAATTCAAAAAGTGTAGTCATTTGCTTGAATGTGCTAAGCTATGACTTATCCTCAGAACTGACACTAGCCTTGATATTACACACCGATAAACTTTGACAGACATACGAAAACACCTGTAAAATCTTGGTTGTGTTACTTTCTTGAAGAACTCAGCATATCTAAGATCATCTACTTGAGCTGCAAATATTCTCCACTGTTTCAAAGGCTGTAAAATTTTTCGACCCCAACTACAAAAATGTCACTAGTACATTTAATAGACTGTACAACTGTTGGTTGATGCCTCTGTGGTTCTTTTTCGTTTACAAGAAGATTGCTGAAGATCGTCAGGATGCAAAAGTTAGGTATTTTTACTACTTTTATTGATGATTTCACTTGAATATGACTGACTGATTGGGTGGTAGACACACTTATCGAAGGAAAGTTGTGGGACGTGTTATAGTGCCTAATCGCTAAGGCAGAGAAATATGCATCAAATGAGATGGAGAGTGTTTTGGATAACTGCTTCATTACAACCTACTCTTGCGAACGAAATAGACTGAAACGGAATTCGTAACCGTACGAATCTAAAGGCAGTCGGATGAGCGATGGAACCAATCAAGAAATGTAATGACTCTTGGTCTACACCATTAAACACTGTTTAAGTTACGTATCTGGAAATATCCGGATCTTATTATTCAGTGTATGTAATTCCGCTATATGTGACCTACGTCCAAGTACAGTAACCTAAATCCGTTCGCTTTTCATTTTTTAAATTCTGAATAACACGTTAGTTTTCGTTCTACTGCTCCGAATCTACTAGTAGGAGATTTAAATTTTAGCAGTGTTCCCAAAAAATTATATTCAGTGGCGTTCTTCTAAAATTAACTTATGCTAAGAATGATTCTTGGTGATGCAAGGCGTGACATTATACCATCGAAAAAAGTCAATCTAACACCGAACTCCCTAAACCATTTATAAAGAAAAGGGGGTGATTAAAGAGTTAATTATATTTATTGAGCGTCCCTCAAATCTCATAAGTGACAAAAGTTGAACCATATGATTGAACTTCGATCACTGATAGGTGTTCATAACGTTGAATAAGGAATGAGTGTCTGCCGAACTAAAACTTTTCTAGCGTTATTGCTTGTATTACAACGTCGTTGATTGGACCTAATTGACTATCGACTACCACAAACTCTCGCATTCAGTTTCTCCTGCAGGTATATTTGTTTTTCAATATGATAAATTCAATCTTCAAAACTTCTATTTGTGCCTCTATTTTACTGCGGCAAGTATTTCTAGCTTCTTTCTACTTTCTGAAATAAATATGTAATTCTCCAACAGTGTTCATCTACTTGACATAAAACAGCCGTAAAGAAATTATTATTTGTTGAGAGATGGATAGGAAGTCTGAAAATAAAACACAAGTTACTGATTAGACAAACACTTTATCACTATGACTTGAAAAATCGAACAGCAGCATTAAAGTGTTTCCTGCAGATGACCAGTATTCAGCGTTGGCGCTGATCACTCTACTGGAAAGAGCATCATCGAAGTAGGTTGCCCCTTAAATCAGCCCACTTAAAGCTACCCAGTATTTCTTCAGTGAAGATGGTAAGGGCTTTCTAGGTGGATTCACTGCAACGAACTTTGAATCCAAACCTTCAAAAAAGCCATACGAGACTGAACTCAATCAGATGTCACTTGTTATGGGTCTGTGGTCAATTGGCACTACTACAAACCGTTTTCTGAGATAATTTAAACAAACAACGTTCCTAGTGCTGGCAACCGTAAAGTATCAATCACTCTCACGCCTTCAGCATTATGGAAAACCTACCTAAATATAGCTTAACCACCCTTATATTCACTTTGGCATGCGAACAACAACAACCTTACTGTTTCTTGATCTTCCTACATTGCAAGTATTGCTTACCTTCTTTTTCAACTCCATCTACATTTTCCGGATATGCATCGTTCTATTCTTTATGTGAATATTCTAATGACCATTTTAACTTCTGTTATTCATATTTTGGCTTTTTTGCCTGAATTTCGCCTGATTATCAGTGGTGTACACAACGGCAAAATTTCTTCAACTCAGTCACAATTGATGTGTTTGATTATTGGGGAACATGACTTGCATAGAACCTCGCCTCGTTAACTAGTTCACTAGTAACTAGCCGGTTCTAAGCCCGGATAAAGAGAGAAGGTTGAGCATAGGGTTAGCAACCCTACCCCGTAAAACAAATCTAACCGCTAAACAAACCAAATATAAAAAATAAAAACAAACTTATTCCTCACTGGAATCGGAGAGGCGAAATGACGCCGGCTAGTGAAAGCCTTCGGAAAGCCGGTCGGCCGATGTGTCTTCTCTCCCTCGATGAAAGCGAAAGGAAACGTGGGGACATGGAATGTCCACACCATGTTTGAACCCAGCAAGGCAACCCAGATTGAAAACGAGATGAGAAGGTATCACACTGAAGTGCTAGGAGTTTGCAAAAGCAGATGGAATGGAAGTGGACTTTCCAAACTGTCAACTGGAGAATCAATAATCTACTCCGGTCACCCAGACGACAACCGCGAACACACGGAAGGAGTGGCTATCATGATGTCCCCAAGAGCATCGAAGACTCTCATGCAGTGGGAACCAGTCTCCTCCAGGATCATGACAGCAAGATTCAACTCAAAAGGAAGGAAGGTTACAATCATACGATGCTATGCTGTGCACCTACGAATAATGTAGATCAGGAAGAGGAGAAGGAGGAATTCTACAGACAACTTCAATCAACACTGGACAAGATCCCACTCCAGTTGGCGACATCAAAATCCATTCTAATGGGTGACATGAATGCCAAACTGGGAGCGGAAAACACAGGAAGAGAACAAACCATGGATTGAGAAGCACTCGGTGAGGTGATGAACGAGAATGGAGAATTGTTTGCTGAATTCTGTGCATTCAACGATTTGGTGATTGGAGGCATTGTATTCAAGCACAAGGACATTCACATAGCGACATGGATTTCACCAGATGGACACGCTACACTTAAAATCAGATCGACTTAATCTCAAGAAAGTGGAGACGCAGCTTACTTGATACAATGTCAAGAAGAGGAGTAGATGTAGGTTCAGACCACTCACTGTCTGGTGCAAGGAACCTTCCAAGTCAAGTTGAAAGCCTTCAAGGAAGCTGATAATAGATCACAGTTCAAGTACAATGCTCGGAAACTGAAGGACGAAACTACAAAGGAGATCTTCACGGCAACCATCAAGACAAAATGGGAGATATCGAGGGATATCCCTGAAGTAGACTGTGCGGATGAACAATGGAAGTCTTTGAAAGCTATGTGGAAAGAAACCTGCACAACCGTATTAGGAAGGAAGGAGAAAGAAGATAAGGAATGGATCTCGATGGATACATAGAAGTTAGTCAAGGAGGGAGAGGAATAGGGTGATGGTGAAGCAAAAGATGAACCAGTGGAGTGGAAGGATGTACAACGGGAAGAGGAACTGAGTACAATGTATAAAACACTGAACAAAGAAGTGGAGAAGAGTGCATGGAAAGACAAAAGACACATTGCCAAGTGAAGCAGAACAGGCTGTTGGTCGGAGAGATAGAGACCTGACAACATTGTATCAAATAAACAGGTCAATATCTGGAGGGAAGAGATCAACACAGATGAAACCAATAAAAGTTGATGGAGGAAATCTAATTACCAATGAAGAGAAACAAAGGAAACGATGTGCTGACCACTTCAAGAAGCTCTTGAACCGACCATCACCACCTGCACTTCGTCCGGAAATACAACCCGCAGCCGCTGAACTACCAGTGAACATAAATCTTCCAACAAAAGTTGAAGTCCTGAGCTCCATAAGGCTACTAAAATGCTGGAAAGCAGCAGGACCAAATGGGATCTTGCCAGAAGCACTGAGAGCAGACGCAGGGACAACAGCGGACATGCTCACACCACACCACTATTGCAGAGGGTGTGGAAGGAAGAGAAGGTCCCTGGCGACTGGAAGAAGGGCTACATTGTCAAACTCACGAAGAAGGGAGACCTCAGTGTTTGCAAGAACTGCCGCGGAATCACTCTCCTGTCCACCCAAAGCAAGCAAAATATTAAGCCGCCTCATCCTGGAGAGGCTAAAGCATGCTCCGGATTCAAAACTACGACCGGAACAGGCTGACGCGCTGGCTGGTTTCAGGAAGTACAAATCATGTGTGGACCAAATTGCTACGCTTCGTATCATCATAGAACATAGCATAGAATGGCAACCAGCTCTCTACCTCAACTTCATCTTCTTTGAGAAGGCCTTTGACAGCGTCGACCGAGAAGTAATTTGGCAGGCAACTGCTTCAACACTACGGAATACCGCAAACCTTTATCAGCCTCATTCAACAACTATATGAAGACACCACATGTCAGCCAAGTAATTCACAATGGGATGCTCAGTGATGCTTTTGAAGTGAAGACAGGAGTGAAACAAGGCTGCCAACTATCACCGATGATATTTCTGATTGTGGTCGACTCGACTGGATCACGCAGCAAACAGTGGGGAAGAGGGGGATACGCTGGCTGTACTGCGGAAAAGAACCTAGAAGACTT